TGAAATTCTGTGTTCAATGCCAAATTCATGAAACACCTGGGTAAGTGTCTTATATTTTGTGCCTCCATCTGATTGCACCCTTTTAATCTTAGTATTCAACTAATTTTCAACAAGGTTCTTGAAGTGTAAAAAGGCTGCATGAACTTCATTTTTAGCTTTAAGCAAATATAACCAAGCAAATCTACTATAATGATCAACAAAGATAACATAATATATGTAACCATTTGTTGACTTCACTGGTGCAGGTCCCCACAAGTCAGTGTGTATAAGATCAAGAGGAGCATTATAAAGTGTTTCAGACAAGGAGAAAGGTAATTTGTGACTTTTGGAAACTGAACAAGAAACACACAAAGTTGAATTATCATTAATAATAAAAGGTTGATTACAGGCCTTGAGAGTTTTTTGAACAATGTCCAAACTAGCATGACCTAATCTTTGATGCCATAGCTCTAGGCTAGGAGTTTGATTGAAAGCAACATAACTAACTGATGGATCACTGCCAAGCAAGGGTTCATGATTGGTTGGTGTCTGCAGGCTTGTTACTGGTTGAAGATTGAAAGAGTAAAGTCCATCTCTAACACTCCCTCTGAGAAGAATGGCTTGAGTGGTTTGATCCTTGACAAGACAAAATGTAGGATGAAATTAAAAAAAACACATTATTGTCAAGGGCAAATTTTGAGACACTGATAAGATTTTTAGTTATATACGCTAGGGACATGCAGCAGATCTTTAAGTAGAAAAGCTTTATTATTGCTTAAAGATTTAAGAAATCCATTACCAATGTGGTTGATGGGAACACCTGCTCCATTCCCAACTTGAAGCATGTTTGTCCCACTGTACTCAGATGCTAAGTTCATGTTAGCAAGCTCATTAGTCACATGAGCTGAGGCTCCAGAATCAGGGTACCATATGCCTTCACTTCCAAAGTCAGAAGCAGCTGAGGAGTTAGCATACTGAGTCAGATTGAGAGAAGGGTTTCTGTTGGTTTGACTGTTGTTGTTGAGTTGTTGTTGTGGAGTGTAGCTTTGGTCAAATCTGTACCAGCATCTATCAGCCGTATGACCTGCCACTTTGCAAACTTGACAGATTGGTCTGCTGCTTTGAAACCTGCCTCCTCTTCCTCTATAGCTTCTGCCACCTGACCTTCCTCCTCTATTGTTTGGTGACCCTCTGAAAACTCCTTTGTTTTGATCATTTGGGAAGCTCTTCTTTTGAGTGGCTTGGACAGCTGTGTTGACTGAGGGCTGTGACCCTTCAACATAGACATTAGATGTTAGCCTTGCATTGAACTCCAGCCTGGATTCATAGCTTAATAGCAAGGCTTGTATTTCTGGTACAGTGTATGGCTCGAGTCTTAAGGTTACTCAGACCATCACTGCATGATATTCAGTTCCTAAGCCACTGAGTATATGAATGATCTTGTCTCCTTCCTTTACAGGTTGGCCAGCTGAGGCAAGGTAGTCAAAGCAAACTTTCATCTGATTTAAATACTCGGACATGGTTAAGTTGTTCTTCTTTAAACCTTGCAGTTGAATTTTATACTGCATCA